CTTGAGCTCTAGCCTAGAACATATAAGTAAAGCATATTAAAATATATATATATTTTGTGTGAGCAGAGACATGCACAGTTTGTAGTTTCTATACCATTCTATACCATTCCATTAGATGATTATTCCTGATATGCAGTACTTCAAGAATGCATCCATTCCTGATTCTTACTGTTTAACTCTCATATACTGAAAGCCAAATAATGCAATCACTGAGCTACTTTTTTACAGCTAGAGTCTGGAGGAACAATTTCACCTTCAAAACGTCTAGGGTCCTATGAATGCCTGCTGCTGTAGTGTATTTGGTACATTAAACTTTTAATACTTTGTCTCTAAAAGAAAAGAAAAAAACACAAATACTATGTTTCATTTAGTATGAACTACAGAAATAAGACATATTCTTCTCTCAGTTACACAACCATCGCAGTCGTTAAGAAAATAGCTTTCTCCTGCTTTACCCTAGTGACTGGACTTCTAAGCAGGGTTGAGTATTATGTGTGAAGGGACATTTGAAGGTGAAGTGTAGTTGGTCATATGTCTAGATGTATGCAGCAGTGTTATTGAAATGATGTAAATGGAAACATGGGGCATACTGAGATGCTCTTTATTTTGCATGCAACATTTATGAAATGCATTAAGAAGTTGTGCTTTGACAAACTAATGTATGTCTAGTGAATACATGGAAAGAGAATATTAGGGTGACCACAATACAGCTTATATGTTTATATCTATAGTGTTCAAATCAAGGATACAAATACACACATTGTCATTCAATGTGACATGCTAATCTTTGCCGTTTTCTGTTATGGTAGTGAATGTACCAGCGATAAAAAAAAAACAAAAACATGAAAAACAAAAATGGTCATTCTGATATTTTTTTTTTCAATTTGGACAAACAGAATGTCATTCATATAGCAGTATGGTTACATACAAATTTTGATAAATATTTACATTATTAAAATCTTCTCCCCAACCTTTGTACACTGGTGTGTAAAGAGTTAATAATAGAAGAGTCTAGCAAACTAGCTGCTCAACACTAATTCCCTCATTCCCTGGTTTTAAGTGGTTATGCATTCAATAACCATTGCTGATGAACAAGGAGTTAATAATAAAAGCATAGACAAATGGTTGAAGAATGGTTATTAAATTGCAATGGGTGGGGCGTCTCAATATATAGCCCTTCCATGTTCATACCCCTTTGCTAGCATGTGATGAGTTATTATTGTAAAGGTCCAGCAAGCCAAACTGTTCACCACTTCAAAAGTCCTGGGCTTTGGAATGGGCATTGTTCCTTTAAAAAGGGGAGATGCGTGCCCCTCACCCATTGCTGGTGGATGACCGATTAATAATGGAATGACTGGCAGCTGAGCTGCCCACATCTTTCTACACCATTTTTATTGTTTAAATTTAAGGAACACTCCAAGAACCATAAACAGTACAGCTCATTGTAGACATGATGGTGCCAGTAATGCCGTGGCTCCCTACCAGACTAAATATTCAAACCATTTTAAAATCTGGGTCCCACGCTCAGCTGCCCCTCCTCCTCCAGGAACCTCTTGCAACCGAGCTAAGCGCAGCCATGCAGAACCACGTTCATTGGCTGCGAGCCCTCAGCTGACACCATGCGTGGCCAGGCTTAGCTCAGTGGAGCTAAATGGAAGCTCCTTGCAGGAGTATTCAGCAGCAAGCTAGGCAATGGCCAGCATCCATCTGACTCCAGGTAACTTGAGTTCTTAAAAGTATTGACTACTTACTCTGGGTGAGTGCCACTACAATGGGCTGTATTGGTAATGGTGCTTGGAGTGCTATTTTACATGTATATAATTTTATTGCTTTCCCTCTATGTTTTAAAAGCCTTTTAAATCTTATTAGGCAACCCAAAACATCAAGGGAGTTATAACAATAGCAATTATAAATCAGCCTTTGGCCACCTTTGTTCCTGTCCCAAAATACTGCAACCCCCATCCTTCTTATCCAGCCAGTTTAAGCCAATTTGTATAGGAGTACCGGCAAGGAATCTTGTATAATAATAATGATAAACCTTTTTTATAATGGCATTCTAAAATGTTGATTATCAGATTAAAAGTGATTAGTCACCAAGAATTGCATTTGCATTCTCAGATTAAATGGCTGATTATGTAATCCAAAGTAATACTTCGTAAATAAACCTGTTTTAATCTGATAATAATATTCTGTTCATAAATTTGGATTATCAGATGAAAATAGTTTATTCACAAAAAGTTGATTTTTTTTCTTGATTGGCACATGAAAATGTCTTGTTCACAAAAGTTTTTTCTTTTATTAAATAGGCATATCATCCATCTGAGTGCCATAACTGTGCTCACTCCACTATGTACTGGGCACAGCTATGGCACTAAATTGATTAAAAGTGCTAAGGTTTTTTTTTGTTTTCATTTTGTAAGTTAAAGGGCTTTTTCACCAGCATTTTTTTTCTTGATTAGTACATAAAAATGCCTTGTAAGCATAAGTCAGATGAATTATTTATGGAAAGATTAACTCGTTGAGCGCCTTAGGTGTGCCTGCTGCATTGCAGTGCTATATCCTTGACACACATATTAAACTCAAAAGGTTAAAAGGGCTCATTCACTAAGGCTGGCGTATAAGATCGAAAGGGCTTATTCACTAGCATTTTTTTTTACTTTATTTTTTATTATTTTCATTTTTTTAAATTGGCATCTGAGAATGAGTTGCAAACTGATCCCCAGCTGTTGCACAAATGCAAATCTCTAGACGCATACCCAGCCTTAATGGCATTGTGTAAGTTGCAGTCTACTATACTATAAAGAAGAGGCAAGCTTTGCAGGACTATTGTGGTCAAATGATGATTCCTATCTGGTGGTCAAAAGCTTATCAAATGTTGTACAGCTACTCCCTCCTTGATGCTTAGCCAGCCCTTCTGACTATGGTTCATGGGAGTTGGAAACCTGTAATATTTGATAATATATTGAGACAGGGACATTGAGGATGAGCACAAGCTGATCCTGAAAAGTTACATAGTTACAACTCCCTTAATGCTTAGTAAGGGCTATTGGCTAAGCACCATAAGAGTTGTAGTTCTGAAATACCTGGTGATCAACCTTTTAGGTCACCCAATAAAAGGGAGTTAATCACCCTTTGCTCGGCTGCATTGAGGTATATAGGGGAAAGCAAGACAATGTTATAAATGTCATTAAAATGTAGGTCAGAACAAGAGTACACTCTTGCTTCTGTAACATTATGTTTTTTTGTTTTTTATATGTTGTTCTTTTGAACTCTATTAAACTATGTTTCTACCATCCCAAAGCCCTGGAAATTGAAGTAGGAAGCAGCAGGCAGCACAACTACTGTCCACATGTATTAGTAACCCTTCATCTGTTGGTATTAACTGGGGAAGGGGATCTCTTCATTTTAAACAAATAATCTCCCATACCAAAGGTAAGGGACTGCTGGACAGTTTGACTACTGCCCACTTCTATTATTAACCTGTCACCCACTGGCACTAGGTGAGGGAATGCGTAAGCATGACAGCATGGTAGGAGGTAACCCCATTTTAAACATTACCCACTATTCAAAAAATAAATGTATATGTCCAAAACACTGTACTGTTTTCTGTTTTGCTTTATATTGTAAAATATATTAGAACACACTGCACAGCCTAGTGGGCTGCAACAGATGCCATCCCCAAATAGCCTTACTTCTGCACTGCAGGTGATATGAAATGTCATATTCAGGACCTACCACAGCTTGATACCTCCCTCTGCTGGTACATTAAAGACTGGCAAACTAATGACTCGTAATATTCTTAAAAGGAATAGTAAAATTTAAGATTTAACATGCATGTGCATTAGGAGTTTGCATTTGATCTACGTGCAATTCTTAAAAGTTACTGGATGCATGGCATGTGGAAAAGACACAGTGCAGAAATTATAATACACTCCCATGTTATCTTTCAGATAACACTAAATACAAAAAAAAAAAAAAAAAAAACTTCCTCTAAGTCTCTGTCCTGTGTCTGTGTCTTTGGGCTTTCAGATCCTACTATACTGTGTGCAGGATGCCAATAGGACTCTGCTATTCCATGAATCTTAAGCCAGTCTTTCTAGACAGCACATGCTGCAATGTACTGTATTATATACTGAAGGGGGAAAAATGTATCAGCAGAAAAAATATATACAAAAAAATAAAAAGAAAGAAAGAGGGAGGTGAGAAAGACATGCATGCACAAAAATAATAATGACAACACTGAAATGTAAACAGAACAAAAGCAATGCATAGCCTTGATTACAGGGTGGGCATATGATGTAAGGAATGGTAATTGTCTGGGTTTGCATTCTAGAATGCAAATAAACCCAGATTCAGCACTGGGAAGGATGGGACAGCTCCCGGTCTCTACAGCATTAGCCACAACATTGCAACTAACAGGGGTCATCATTAAGACAAATGAAATGAGAATCCTGTACCTTCTCGTCTTGAGCAGATCCTGCAGTTTGACTGTCCTTCCAGTATCAACTCTGCACCATGCAAGGAAAAACTCGCCCCCCTTTCCCTAGTGTCTCATTTTTTTCTCTCTCTCTAGCAGTCTCCTCCTCTTTTAGTCCATGTGTGCTCTCAACAGGAACTGCAGCTGATGCTGAAGGGCATTTAGGGAAGAGTCGTCTTGATGAAGTCACAGTTTGTTCTGTATGATAGCAGCTACACATACGACAAGGACATAACGGGAGGATGCCAGAGAACATGCAATGGCAGGGATACAGCAGCTAAACCTGGAGACACTGCTGATAAAATCCTGGAAGATCAATAACCTTCCCTGCTCTCTCCCTACACCCTCTTTTTTATCACAGGATTTCCGGACCATCCCACTGAGAACAATATTTATTTGATCCCTCCTTCTATTCAATGCCTTCACAATGTCTTAGGGATTTTCTTTACATGCATGTCTAAACAATATGATGCTGATTTTTTTATTTATTATTATTATCGTTATTATTTTAATATGTGCAGTACACAGCAAATTCATTGGGGGGAATGTCTGCTTCTCATGTGACAAGGGCAATGCAGTCTATTTTATTTTCAATGGGCCTTTTTCACTTCCTCTTGCTGTGTGTGTGTGCAGCTATTGTAACTAACTATGCCAGTCTGATGTAGCAGGTGACTGTGTGTCCTTGTCTATCACTGTAGCCTCATCATAGACATAACTCGTGCCTTTTTCTTATGCATGTTTGATTGACTCTTTGATTAATAAGGATTGCTAATTGTATTTTTTTTATTTACATGATTGTAAAAAACAGTTGTATGGTAGTGTGTGTGTATGTGTGTGTGTGTGTGTGTGTGTATGTGTGTGTGTGTGTGTGTTTCTGAAGACATAAGAAGGTTTACACTCCTAATACACATTTCTTCGTTATCAATAGGTTTAGGAACATATAGGTCTCCATGGACCTTAGACTCATGGGAGTTTCATTGCTGGGAAAGAGCTGCTACTTGCATCTGATGCCATTAATTCAGCTTATCTCCCATTAATTATATGTCAGGAGAACTGCTGGGGAGACAGAATTGTGCTGTTTCTGTTTTCTCAGCTCCTCTCCATCCATATCACTATTTGGAGAGAGCTTATTTTAAATGCCAGCAGTTAAAAGTAGCTGCTGCTGTCTAGGAGTGTAACTAACACTAATCTGGTACAGGCTAGAACATGTGGGTTTCATTGAGATTAGGGACACCCACACAATAGAGTATCATTCGAACTTTGAATTATTAAGATAATGCACGGATGACATCACCCACCATTAGAATACTGGATTTAAAAACACTGTGTGCCCAATGACATAACAGACATTCAACAGGAAGATCATGTTGTAGAACATTGTACCGCATTGATGATGACATCATATTAATGCTCAGATCACATTTGTTCACTAAATGGACCACTAATCTCAGGTAGACCTGGGGTGTACATGTGTGAAATTACTGCACATTTTACTCCAAAGCAGTAGAAGCCGAGAAGTAATGGAGGTACTCAGCTGGAGTACCCACAGGCTGTTACACAGTAGCTACCACTATTTTAATGGAAGTAGCTGTAATAGCTGCTTTATAGGACTGTAAAACACATTTTTCTCACACCGCACTGGATCATATATATCGAAGGACTGCTCTATAAGTAAATTGCTTCCCGTAATGCTTACATATTCCAACACCGTGAATCCCAACACTACACTATCACTTACCCTACCCTTAACTCCTACTATACCCTCTCTCACTACCTTGAGCCCTAACACTAAATCTAACCTAGCAAAAATCATGTAGTGTTCTGTGAAATGGAAAAAATAATGCAATCTTAGGGTTATGGAGACATTTATAAATCATTCAGCTATTTTTTTTTATTGTTTTATTACATGTTCTCCTTGTGATTTCATTATTTCAAATCCCATGTTGATGTCACTATGCAAAATAAAACTCCTATTGTGCAATGTTTTATATTACTCTGAATCTCAGCATCACTGCCATTCCGAGAGACCACAGCATCTGCTGCCTGACAGTGTGACCCTCATCAGTCTCATTTAGCTTGAGGCATGTATATTATGGTGCTTCTCTTACATAGAACATAAGTGTGTGCGTATATACAATTATACTCACTATAGTCATTTGCAGTATAGCAGTGGTGCAACCTCTTCTCTTACTTCCCCTTGGTCATATATAAGTATATATATATATATATATATATATATATATATATATATGTGTGTGTGTATTCAGCTATGGGGAAGGGATACAATTATTCCTCACAGGGCCATTGCAGGCTTACATGGTGAGGAAGAGGTAGCACAGGCTTTCTGTCTGCACCTTTGCCAGGTCCTTTCTCGCACGCAAACCTGTCTTTCAAGTTAACTTTGTAATGCTCAAACCTTGGTTTGCGAAAATAGCTTGCATCCGACAGAGTGCAAACAGGAGTCAAAATAAAGACAAAAAAAACCTAAAATACTTCTCCTTTCACAGACTACAGTATTTATTATACCCCACAAAGGCACACACACACTGCATACACTATACACACACATACTGCATCCATTACACACACACACTCACACACGTCATTCACTATGCACACACCTCCTCCTCTATACACATAGTGCAGCCCTTACACACAAACCATCCACTATACACACACTGCATTCACTGCACACAGACACACACAAACACACACACACACCATCCACTATACACACACTGCATTCACTGCACACAGACACACTGCATCCACTATACACACACACTGTATCATCTGTACACACTGGGCATCCACTATCTACACATATTGCATCCCTTACACACACAATTGCAATTATTTACGTAGTGCCAACATATTCTGCAGAACTATAGAATAGGAAACAAGACAAACATTTACTTTTAACAAAACACCTATGACATACAGGAAATATAGGTGAAGAGGGCTCACATCTACACACTGTCCAATCTACACACTGCATCCACTATATACACACTATATGCCTTACACACACACACTACATTCTTTAGAAACACACACTGCATTGACTATGCAAACTGCATCCCTTACACACACACTGCATCCCCTTTACAAACACACACTGCACCCACTATGCACAAACACTTCTACCCTTACATACACACACTACAACCCCTAAATACTTTGAATTCTCTGAAAACACACAGTACATTCCCTAAACACACCCCTACAAAATGACACTATATACAATACCAGAGCGCAAGTGCCTGTAAAATGGTGGTGGAATGGTGGGTGTGCCCTGCAGGCGGATTCTGAGCCAGACCTGTGGGCAGACTCGGTGTGGGCCCAAAAATTCCAAAGGCAACCATGCCCCAGGTGACAATTTCAGGGTTAAACAACTGTTTATGTTAACCCATTAAAATAAAGCAGAGCTGGGGTCGTGGCTAACCGCCGTGACGAATGGACACTTGAGCCCTTTGCTCCGGCAGATCGGGTCGACAATCTGGCGCAATCCTAAAACATAAGACAGCATACCCTCTAAGATACCCTCGAGATGGCACACCAGAGGGGCAAGAAAGCCACCCCTAAACCAGATAAACTTAATTTCTTTGGCAACAAAGCGCATTCAGAACCGGAAGACCAGGCCTTCCTTCAAGATGGCGGATGCAACTCCGGCGAATCTGCCTATGCGGCTGCTACTTTAGAACCTGATGCAGACAAATTAACCAGGTCTCACTTTCAACAAGCCCTGGACTCGCTGTCTAATAAATTAATCACCTCCTGGCAACATACAGCTGACTCGCTCAGGAAGGATATTCAATAGCTAGGCAGACGTACATCCCATGTGGAGAATAAATTATCGGAGTTCGCTACCGCATATAATGATTTGGCCTCACATGTTGAATCTGTGGAACACAAACTTCTATTAATGGAACATAAAATCACAGATTTGGAGGACCGAGCACGCAGCAACAATTTGCGTATCCGGGGCATCCCAGTGGACATCGCACCAGGCAACTTACAGGCACACATCAGAGGTCTGTTCCAAGCACTAGCGCCGGACATACCATCTGACATGCTGCTCTTGGATCTGGTGCATCGCCTGCTCAGACCAAAGTTCCTGCTGGAGATTGCCCCGAGAGATGTATTGCTGCGTATGCATTATTATCACATCAAAGACCTTCTCCTTAAAACACCCAAACGCAGATCGACACCACTGGAAAATTACCCGCATATTAAAATCTTCGCTGACCTCTCTGTGACTACTCTTGGCAGAAGGAAAGAATTTACCCAAGTCATTGCCACTCTGAGAGCCCACGGCCTTCGCTTTCGTTGGGGCTTCCCCACCAAAGTTATTGTGACTAAGGACAATACCACCCAAGTGATAACGTCGCCAGAAGACGGCCTTCGCAAGTTGCAGGCATGGGGTTTCTTGGAGCAGGCTGGAGAACATACCACCCCACCTTCGAAAAGGATTCAATTGGACTGGCACAAAGTGTAACCCGCACACATAATTGGCAAACTGCAAGTATATAACACAATCGTAAAAGATATAAACAACAACAAAAAAAAGTTAACTGGTAGAGACTAGTGTACCCTTAAGTATTTGTCGATGGGGCACATTAGCATGTAATAGTGTATTAACCTTTTCGTTTTAGGTTCTATGGTAAATTTCTGTTACCTCTGGGCTTGAACTGTAATAACAAGGAATGTTACGGTTAATTATAAGCTACTGATTAACAAGCATTCGAGACACCTGCCTGCGCCTCTTATAGATGTATATGTCTCTCCCCACGAGTGGAGATTGTTACTCATACTACTCTGGAGGGGATGCGCGGCGAGGGGCTTGACCTCTCCTTTTCGGTTACCCAGCTTTGAATGTAAAGATATAACTTTTACCAGACCCATTTCAATATTTTCAGAGATTGGGGAGCTGGCTTCATTTACAATTAGTAACTACCTATAAACGTAATACCTCAATTCTCCCCCCCAAAAAATTTTTTTTAATCATAAACAAGTTGATATAGCAAGTCCCCATACAAAACACCAGTCATCATCAATAATATATCCTGCAATGTTTGGTCTATGTACATAATTACGGTTGACTTTGGTTATTGAACGCTATTGATTATTGTGATATCCTGCCTTGGGCCTTTACGGGAGCGGGAGGGAAATGTTATATTCGATTGTGCTCCTCATCTCAATACTATCTAGGCCTTGTGATGCGGTCTGTACATGTCCCACACTTATTAGCCCTTAGTAACATAGGAGTTACAATTTACAATTAACATATTACTGTGACTAAGGGGAGACACTACAAGCGCTCTGGCTCCAGCACTCTGGACAAAAACCAAGCCATAAGCTCATATGTACCCCCTGATCCCACACGCTCGCAGCTCAGGGGGAACCTTTTTTGTAGACTTAATATGGTGGTTGTATAGGTGCAGATTACCTTACCATTTGAAAATTTGGGGCATGTGCAGTTCTGTCCACCTAGGGTTGCGATAGATATTATGTAGGGTGACACATTCTCTAAGCGTGGGCACAGCCCTGCCACGTTTCTCGTCTAGGCAAATAGGAATGGATTCAGCATAAACATTTTAATATGCTTCACCATAGCTTAGCATAGTTGGGCCGTTTTATTGATTAATAACTCTGTTAGACCCAAAGCCATGTCAAGGAAACATGAATGTCTCCTTCCCCCACGGTACTACTCACAGGTACCAACTACACCTCTGTATATACTTTCTTTTAGTTTTCCCCGGTTTCTCTTACCCTTCAGACCCACTCCTGGCCACGGAGAGCTATTGCTCCATATCCTATCACTCAAGCTCTTTACGCATACAACTACTTGTATGAACCTACAGTTCCAGTACATCAGCAACGTACAACTTAATACTGCAACATTATGAGAATTTACTCCCATAATGTTAGGGGATTAAACACCCCACATAAACGTAGAGTTCTCTTAGACTGTCTCAAACAAGACAAAATAGATATTGCATGTTTGCAAGAAACGCACTTTGCACATGGGAAAGTACCCGGGTTTGGGACACAAGATTATCCAATACAGTATCATGCAACTTACTCATCCAAAACTAGAGGAGTGTCACTGCTGTTTCACAAAAGTCTTACTTTTGAAATATTATCCAGTAAAAGAGATGTGCAAGGGAGATACTTAATCATCCACTGCCAAATTAATAATGTCATATACATACTGGTAGGGCTATATGGCCCTAACTCTAATCAGAGACATTTTTTACATAAGTTATTGAGTAAAATACCACACCCGACCTCAACCTCTCTTATAATATGCGGAGACATGAACCATGTCATACAACCAGAGATGGATACGACTATCTCTCCCGCAGCCCCTAGATTTAAACCCTTGTTAACCCAATGTAAAGCCATCTCTAAACTTTTGTTAGATAATGATTTATTTGATATATGGCGGACAAAATACCCAAATGAGAAAAACTACACCTTTCACTCTAAAGTGCATGGAACCTACTCCAGAATAGACATTATTCTGGTATCCAGAGGTTTGCTCCCCTCGGTTGTACGCTGCACAACAGGAGATATAGTCTGGTCGGACCATGCTCCAGTGACCCTTATAACTCAAGACGCTTATAAACATAGAGGGAAAGCCCCGTGGCGACTAAACAATGCCCTTTTATTTGATGAGGTTTTTAAAAACACATTACAAACCGAGTTAACTGAATATTTTCGGCTCAATGTTCGGCCAGAAACTAGCCCTACTCTGATCTGGCAGGCCCACAAAGCAGTTGTTAGAGGACAACTTATTAGCAGAGCAACATCATCTTACTTTATTAACTAAATTGAGAGACTTAACGCTGACTCAGTTCTTACACCCAAATATGAACGTTACTTCCGAAATTGACCTTGTCACGAAACAACTGAACGACCTTCTACTTCAGCACACAGCACGTATGATGCAAACTCTTAAAATG